TTACAATAATTTTATATTATCTATCACGTGGTTTAAAAAATGAACCAATCTAAAAGAATTTTGTATATACCTCGACCCATTTATTCTGTAACAAAATAATTAATGGTGGATATGAATACGATGGATATGTTATTGTTGTAAGAAGAAAATGCGGAAGAAGTTATAGTGCCATGTGTGGATGTCGACATCTCTATATTTTAAAATAATTTTTGTTTGATAATGTGACATACTGTTCCGATAATGACACGAAACCTTCTAAAATTTCCCCACCAAACGGGTTAGTGTTTCTCAAATGCGGTAAGCCAAACCGCAAACGTTTGAAGCTATAAACACGACCTGCAGAGTTTTATGTTGGTGATGCATTCACAGACACATACGGCCCAAAAAAGGTAGAACCAAAATGCAATGGTTCTGGGCCATGGCCATATGAAAATATATATCACATAAATAGATTCATTTAAAAAACAAGAAGCAGAGTTTAAAAATAGGTCTAAACATAAACCAAAAATAAATATTTCTTTTGATAAAAAATCTAATATTAAGGCTCCCAGTTATACTGGATGGTTTCGTTCACATGTTAATTTCGTGGTGACATGAACGCACCCTTAGTTCCCTTAGGAAGGCTAGAGGCACGATGGTTAACATATCCAACCATTTTGAATATCACAATGGCTAGATATAATGATATAAACCACAAACATTTATATGGAATATACGTAGTTCGAAATTTCATACCATGCATGAGTAAAATTGAGCTGAAAGTGACTCGAATATGTTTAAAATAAAACTTTTTTCTAACTCATGGGTCATGGCCGGTGTATGTGAAAACCTGTTATAAAAACTTTCAGGTTTACTAGTTTAACTATAATATATATGATAAACATTTCTAAGCAAATTGACTATTATTAGTCCATATTTGTTTGGAAGCTTCTTCCCGTATCTACTATACTATTATATTTATATGTTTATGCGTAAATGTGTGTACATGTCTATCTTCTCGATTGCAATAATATATTAATCAAATATTAGATACGTACTTTGGTCCCCAAAAAAAAAAAAATTGATACGTACTTCTTGAAATAAAACCATAATTTAGTATATTTTTAAAGGTTAATTAATATATAAGCAAAATGTTGGATACGAAATCTGGATAACATAGATTAACTAAATTTATATTATAAAAGATGGGACAAATGCATGTGTATGCATGGTTACGAACCTTACGGTTGGTGGTGAGGTACTGAGGTGTAGACGGGATATGCCGCCGAAAATATTATAAATTCAGCTGACCAATCTCTACTTACTCTCATTCTTTTTTCTTTTTCTTTAATCAGCTATTATTATTATACATAGTTAATTTATTATGATGCATACGTATGTATAATATACACTATATCATCATAAGTTTGAAATGGACTAATCCTTTCCATTTTCGGATTTAGTTTATTATCGTCGTCCTACTGAAAACTCACTTTCATGGGGCCTTCCAATTTTGTTTTTTTCCTTCGTCACAATTCCAATAAGTGAAAAAACTAAAACTTTAACTAAATGATTTAAGAAAAATATTAAATGCTTTAGTAAATGCTATTTTTTTATTCTCTCCATTTTACAAATAGTATCATTCTAACATCTTTACACAAACTAAAAAAAAATCTGTAAATGTCTTGTATCATTTGTTAATACACTAAAACATTTTTTTCTAATTAATAAATTAAAATAATAAAATGAAATTTAATTTTAAAAACTATATTAAAAATATAAAATAAAATTTTCTACAAAACAAAAATTTAGTGTCAAAATAATACTCTTTCTGAAAAAGAGGGAGTAGTATATAATATCTTAATGCTTTATGAAATATATTTAACGCACAATATATCTTATAAGGAATGAACTTACTTATTTTACATTATATGTAAAACCATAACGTGAAAATATCCATTTCGAATGTAAGATATACATTATTTATTTTTGAATTTTAGTTTTTAGACATAGAACTTAATTTCTCAAGGTTAATATGGTATATTTGAAAAACTAATAAATAAATAAAACAAAGAAATAAAAGTTTTTTGATAGAAAAGACGACCGATCAGCTTTTGATACTTTTCATCTCAAGCTAGCACAAGTTGTTCACACAACATATGAGGACCGAGGCCGAGATAAGAGCTAACGTCCGGCAATAATCTTTGATTATCTCCTCCAAATGTTGAGTTGGAAGTCCAAAAATATTTCTGATCGGTCCATGAGAAATATTTTTGCTTTGATACGTATCCAAAAGTCTTACCATTGCATTTTGGTTCTGCCTTTTTGGGCGATAAGAGATATTTTTGCTAAAAATATATTTAGAATCACTTTTGAGTGAGACTATTCTAAGTTATTAAAGATAGTAAAAGCTTTTGAATGTTGGACAGCGTCATTCTATGAATTAGATGATTTTCAGTTTATTAATTCATTCAATTTTAGGTCAATGCGTACTGTTTTGTGAAAAAGGAAAAGGACCCAATTTTTTTTTTTTTCATGTAAGTATTTTGATGCCAGATTGGTCAATTTTCTTTTCTTTTCATGTAAGTATTTTGATGCCAGATTGGTTCTCTCATGAGAATAATTTGTTTTTTTTTGTCAAAGGAGAATAATTTGTTAAACACCAAATGTTTAACCAATGGAATATTTGAAATAGAGAAAAAAATTAGGTACGGAAAATGTTAGTGTACTGGATAACCATGGATCAAGAATATATTCAATTCTTAATTTAATCTGAAAAATTAAGTTATTTTGAATTATTAATAATAGCTTGTTTGGCTCATATGTTCAGTACCTAAAGCTAACTTCTATTATTGTTTGTATAAAATAACTCATCAAATCTTTTCCATCAAACCCAAATCCAAATTGTTTAATTTTTTTCTAACAAATCTAAATTATTGTATAATTATCACTTCTTATTTAATATATACTCCTACAGTTTTCAAAGGAACTATCTAAATAGTTTATAAATTCAAGAATTTTTGAAAATATAATTAAGTATCCTTCCTCTTCCCAGTATCCCGGACAATTATTTGATTCAGAAACAGAACATTATCCAATTAAGATTGATGTAACGGTTGTTGTTGGAAAAGAAATGAAAATGGTGTTGGGTTTATATGCTCTCTCTCTCTATCTCTCTATATATATGTATATATGTATATATTAATATTAATACATATATACACACATATACAGGCCCGTCCCTGTTTTAAGGCAGATAAAGCATGTGTTTTAAGCCACAATTTTATTTTGTAATTTAGAGACCACACTTAGAAATCTGATAACATAAGTAAGAGTAGTGTATTAATTCCATTTCTATTGTCACTAATTCACACAGTTCAATTAATATTGTGATTTGTATTAATTTTTGAATATTTGTGCTTTTTCACTTCATAATTGGTTTCATGTTAGATGGTTTTTAATTTTTTTTTCTTATTTTTATCATTTAATCATTAACAAATATTTTTCACTAATCTAATAATATTAAAATTAAATATAGGCTACTTAAACCTTTTCATTTTACTATTTCATATTTTTTTCATAATGTTTTACACAATGTTATTATAAATGGTGTTAGTATTTTTAGTTGTTATGAAAAACCATAGTAATATAATGTTTTCATTTATATAACCTGAAATACTTAAATAATTAAGTTGATTCATTTTTTATAAGTTAAAAGTATATGATTGTGAAATTAAATATAAACAAAAATCATAAAGAAAATTAGATAATATAGTAGAAATATTTATTTTAGATTAATATATAGAAAAAATATAAAGTCCCAAAATTTTAATTTGCTTGAAGCCTCTCAGTTATTAGGGACGGCACTGCACATATAGTATATAGTTTAAGCATTTTGGTAAGACTTTTGGACCACACGGAGAAAATAAAGACTTCATAGAACACTTTTGGTTTTCACATTTATTTTGACCTCCTTGAAACGCTTTCCAATAAAATAGGAAAATCCCACGTTTTGAATTCAGTTTAATTAATACTAACTCATAAATCGCTTTTCTTGGCCTGTTTTAAAGGAATTTCGCACTTAACTATTAGTATATGTTCTTTTCACATTTTTATGATTTTATCTTAAAGATGTGTGAATTACCACCAAATAATGGGGAGTTGAAAATTTAGAACAAAATTAGAGAACCAAAGGATTATTAGTGTGTTTAGCCGGAGCTTTGGTATATAAGTTTTCTGTTTAATTACCAGTTTACGGTGATTACTGACAAAGTCGAAACCAAGTCTAGCCGGTTTAGATGAGTTTTGCATGGTTATAGTTTTTGTTTCGATTCAACATCGCATTTCTTTTTACATATTATTTTCATTATTACTATTTTTTTTCTGAACACTTTATTTTCATTATTTTGCACATTAATTCCATAGCATTGATAACATTTTTAGAGAAGACATGATACATTGTAAAAATATATACATGGTATATCTTATTTGTGAATTGTCATTTATACGATTAATTAATCTCCAAAATAGCAACCATATTTTGAAATTAATCTCCAAAAATATCATGTTGTATTTTGTCTGCATCATAATTTAAGAGGGATATACACCGTTTAGTTATATTTTTATGCCTCTAAACTATCAACCGTTTACAAGTTACTTATCACGTGTTTACAAACATTACAGCAGAGTAAGAGTTAGTTTACAAACAATAATTTCCATGTCTATATATATACTAACATGTCATAATTAAGCCGATATTGTCACTTTACTACTTTAAAACTTTTAATTTAGCCAACTAAAAATTTCTAATTTTGTGCTTCGTTGTACAACGTTGATTTTGACTACTTTTAATTAATAAAAAATATCATGAATTGAAATTGCAAATTACTGAACAGAAATCATCATATAACATTCTTAGTAACCAAATGTGCATAACTGACAGTAAACCTGATCAAATTTGTTTTTTTTTTAAAACATGACATTAACGGAATGCTTTACATCGCAAGACTAATCAAGTAGCTGCGAAAAAAATCCCGTCTACTATAACAATTGATGACATGTATCTTAAGCACACTTAAACAATAAGAACAAGGTTCCATAAATGACTTATGAACCTCCATGAAACAAACTTATCAACTAAAAACCATTTTCATGGAAAAAAGATCAACTTGGGATTCGTCAGTCGGAGAAATAATAGATGATGCTTGTGCATATATTTGTAACGTGAAACCATGTCATCACATGAACTTTGATAAGCCACAACTTAAGCTCTTTGTAACATCTTCGATTCTCATATCAAAATCGCTATCTTTCTGCAAAAAAATAGACAACAAAATTTAGTTTTTTGGAGTTAATGAATTTTAATATCCAAATTCATACTAATTCTGAGACATGCTTCCATAATAATATAATCATTGCTAATATAGATATTAGTATAAGTCTTTGCATGATCATGATTTCGATGATAATGAGACCCTTTTTAGCATTTCGACCAACAATTTCAGCACAGATGTGATTATAAATTACTATAGGTTGCATGAGAATATAGTCACCTGAGCGATAATAGAGATGTCATAAGTGGGTCCAAAGGGCATGACGCTACTACTGGTGATAGACAAACCAAGCTTCTCAATCTCACCCATAATATTGGTCACATGATCCTTTTGCTTCTCGCAAAGGATCTTAATAAGAACATCACGTCCCGAAAGCCTAACTTCCATCTCTGGAAGACTTGAGCTCGAGAAGTCGCGATTTTCATCTGAGGAAGATGAGGAAAATTGTTGGTTATCATCCAAAACAAGCTGAGACTTCTTCACAAGAACCATTGATTCCATTGTTCTTTCTTTCTTTTGTTCCTCATACTCTTTGAGACTCTCTTGGAGGTACTTTATATGCTTTATAGCATCTCCCAGCACAGAAGCCTTGTCCATCTATAAACATACATATGCATACAAGTTAATAGCATGTAAACATATATAAATTCAATCAAAATGACTACACATCAAGGTGAACCTACAAACGGGGTTTTCCCATTATATTTTGGACTTCCATATGGTTGGTTCTGATCAAAAAATTAAAATTTCATAACCAGAAGATTTAAAGTCGAAACTCAAACAAATTTTCATTAACAAAAGATAGCAAATATGGACTGCTATCATTTGGTTAATATTGAGCCTTGTTATTAAACAAGAACGAGAAATATATGTACCTTCTTTAGGCCAGGAATTAGGGCGGAAAGAGCTACAAATCTTTCAGTAAGTTTCTCTCTCCGTTTCCTCTCGGCGAGTATGTGTTCCTGAGCATTTGATTGGCTTCGATTCAAAGGTTTAGCCCTCTTTGTCTCTCTCGTGGTCAGCTCTGGTGATCCAACTTCTTCCTTGGTGCTAAATATTAGGTTTGGGGAGTTTTGATTCATAAATTTTAAACCTCTCTTTTCGAAAGAAAGAATTCTAGAAGACGGCTGAGGGTTGGGAGGAGGAGGATTGGAAGAATGAAAAGGATGTAAATTTGGTGAGATATGAGTGGTCTTGAGGATCTTTGAAGGTTTCTGTTCGACTAAATCATCATTACAAGAAGCATCAAAGTTATAACAAGTGGTAGTATCATCAAAAGATGAGAGAGACTGTGGAACATCTCCTATGAGTGAGTTCATGTGGTATTGGTGGATGATGCTATACTCTTCTATATCCTATAGAAAAGGCAAATATTTAAGATTCATGAAATTTGCAAAAAGGAGAGGGAAAATAAATATAGTTTATATACAAAATCATAAGATGGAAGAGAAACGCATATAAATATGTGTAGAAGTTTACCACTTCAGAGGACCATTTGGTGGAGAATATGTTCATCGTTGTGGCCATGTTTGCTAGCTTCTTAATTAATCAAGAATCTGAAAATTGGTAAACATGGAACATTATTAATTATACTAGAAAATGAAATCAAGTAAAGCATAGCTTTTCTTGAATTCTACAAGTTATCCCAATAACTTTAAAGGAGTTGAAGAAATTGGTGCAGTCCAAGGAAAAATGAATTTGAAGCTTAATTACCTTCTTCGTAGATGAGAGAGAAAGATTGGGGTTTGCTAATGGCTGAGAACGATATATACATACATATATAACAATTTTGAAGGTGTATGTGTACGTGTGAAAGGCAATCATATACAATTAGATATAAGTTGGGTGACATTAATAAAAAAAACATATGTTGATATTAATAATACTCTGAAAGATCTTGACGCAAAATGTGTATCTATTACTAAATATGAAGATTTAAGATCGAAAATACAAGATATAGTGAATTTATGAGAAAACATGTATACAATAAATAATTATGGTATATATAAAAGGAGTACATGAAATACCAACGTTAATAATAGGCAAATTAATCTAAACCAACTTCCAAAGCAAATAACTTTGTTATATATTTCAAAATTTAAGAGATAATCAATTTTTTCATAAAAAATATAAACCAAATGAAACAAAACCAAGAAAATAGTTATTATCTATTCGAAATTTCGAATCTATTATCTTGTTAATATTTAATCCAGCGCCCAGTATGATCAGATATTCTTTTTTGTTGGTTGAGCTCTAATATATATTTGTATAGGGTTAAGAAAAGATTTCGAAATCTTCAAGAAGACTTAATAATATCATCTTCTTCATGTTCCAAATATATTACACAACTAGAATGTATTCAAACAATTAAATCTTTAGTTTTTTAAAACTACGTTCGCTAATTAATTCATTATAAAAAATAAACAAAGAATTTTACACTCGTCCACAATAAATGGCGGGTCCAATAATTGTCCATAGAAAAATTAAAGTTCATTAGTTTTTTCTTTGTTGTATAAAGTTAAAGTATGTCACCAACCAAAGATCTCCCATTGATTTTTTTTTCTATATAGTGTTGGACTGTTGGTTATGGCATTTTTAGGTTTATTAATCAAATTCAGTTCCAGAATCATCATATTAAATGGGTAGGTAGAGAAAATATTTATCTTCTCACTTAAGAAAATTGACTTCAACTCTTCTTTTTTTTGTACAAAAACAATGACCTTTACTATCTAGAGATTTATGACTCCAAATGAGTTCTTCCTTATAACCGCTTTATTTCTGTTTAATGATTTTGTGAGTGAATTTATGAGGTAAAAAAACATAACCATATATTTTTGGATACTACTAGCAAAAAGAAACATAGTGCTTGTAAATAGCTATTGAGAGAGCGAGACACATCCGACTCTTTTGAGGGCATAGTGTCTTGTGCAACCGTGGTATTTTATGTATATATAGATTAGTCACTTTTTTTGTGTGTGTGCGAAATATAGATTAGTCACTAGGTTAAGAAACCTCATTAACACATAAAGCTATTATATATACACATAAAGCTTCATTGGAAGTGTTGAAGTATTCAACCTTTCGAATAGTAAAAGCACGTGGGTTAATGTAATACTCTATTTGAGAAATGACAGGCAAGAGACAACTAATATCTAGTTCCCTCTATTACCTCGCCCCATGATAGAAGCATCTTGAAATCAATATTTAAATACAAATAATTATGATATATAAAGTATTTATCTCATAGTTGAAAGCTTCAAGTGTGCACATGATTAGGGTATAATTATAGGAATATATTTTTTTTTGTAACTAACATATTTTATTGTTTAAGATCCAAATCTCTTTAATGAAATAGTTTGATGGATCCGTATCTCCGGTCCGGTGTAACGTGGGAGAAAAAAAAATGATTGCAATATGTATTTCTCATCTAATATTCATAGAAATTAACAACTAGAACTGCTAGTGCACAATCAATTTCTATATTTTGCGCACGTATCAAGAGGTACCGTTCGATCCAAAAATCTAGTTTACTAACGAAATATCAAGAGTTTAGTTTGGATTTGATAATATAGATCTATTTATTTTCTAATTTGACAAATATCTAAACAATATTCGAGAGGAAAAATAAACTCTATATTTTGATAATCAAGTACAATTTATAGATTCGAAAATCTATTTTACTTTTGTTTTTTAAGGTTAATAATTATCTTGTTTTGGGAGTACGTTTTCGAAGTCAAACACTGAATTGGCAACGAAAAAGAACAAACAGAAGTAGACAAAAGGCCAAAAGGGTCTACTAGGATAATAAAGAAGCGCCTCTTAATATAAGCTTCTGCCATTTTTGTTACGTTTTAAGAGAATATATTTAATTTATTAGTATTATATATCTTTGCTTGTCATTATATGTTGGTTGATGCATCATGCATGGATGTAAGATCAAGTTTGCCTATTATTCCTGGATTTGCTTTGGATTTGATTTTACCGTTTCATCTTAAACTCTCAGCTCTTGACCTAACAACGCCGTGATTATTAGCCAAAACAAAGTCTTGATGGACTCGTCAAGACTCAGTTTCAAACCCCAAGAACAAGAAAATAAGACATTTATACTTGTTTTTTGTCTTTAATATATAATCTCAGATTTTTGATCATTAACCATACTAAAGAGGAATAAGATAGATAGTTACTTATAAGCCATACAATCATTACTGAATATATAGGTGAATTTTTATCAGCATATATATATATAATTTTATTAATTAGTAAATGGAAATACTTGATCACGATGTCTCATACCTTCATAGATCTTTCTTGCAGCTAAAATATCACCAGTATTTTGCTAAAAAAGTTACAATTTCGCGGTTATAAATAAATAGGAATCAGAATTTGTGGTTAAGACAAAGGCAAGAGCTTTCATTATCTTTTTCGTTCCTATATTTTACAAGAGTTTCCTTCGATCCAGCAACATGATCAAGACCAAAACAACAGTCAGTGGGATTCACAACTTAGTTCAGATAAATCTGAAAAAGCCTTCTAAAAATTGAACAAGTCAGATTTCTTATATATTAACCGAGAAGTATTTTTACAGAGTAATTTTAATTTTATAAATTATTTACAATGATGTCATTTTGCTGATGTGTCATCACCAGAATCATTCTCAGTAAATATATAAAAATAGATTAATTATATATTCTGCCACTCACATTAATTTGGCTATATAATAATAGTTTATATCAATTATTTATACATAAATCAGCATTTAATTTATTAAGATATTCTCTTTTTTTTTATTTCTTATCAAAATATATAATATTAATTATTTCTTTGATTATATTTTCTGCCAAAAATGTTTTATTTCTATTATTTTTATTTAAGCTTAGTTCTGTAAAATAAATAAATTACCACATCATCTATATAGTAAAAATATATATATTTATTTGTACATGTGTTATAATTCAATTTTTTTTAAATGAATATAAACTACTCAAGTTATTAATAAATAAACCTAGGTTTTAAAAGTCTTACTTCATAAATCATTATAAAAAAACATAAATGCTAAAAAAGATTGTATAAGTAGGAAGCTTGATTTAATTGACATTCATATTATTGTATTTTTGGTTTAATATGGTTTTTAATAAAACCATATAAATTAGCCAGATAATATAAATATTTAAATTTCATAAATAAATTTAAAATATTATATCAAAAAGTCAAAATATAAGAAATTGTTAAATATATTGAAAGAATAAAATATTATAAATATTTAGTTTTGTTAAGAAAGTGAAATATTATAAACTTTTAATTTATATAAACAAAATAACTTGGTTAAAAAGTTAAAAAAAAATTTTTGTTAAGATATTATATAATAATTTAATCAAACTTTTTGATCTTAAAATTATTTTTATTTGAGAAAAAAGTTAATAATTTATAAATATTGACTCGGTTATATATACTTTTAGATAACTTATTAACAATCTTGAACTTAAAAAATATTTAATCTATTTTATAAGATTCCTATGTATATTTAGTATTTAAAAATAAAATTTATGATAATTTGGTTTTTTAAAACAGAATTGATATTTTTATGACTGGTGTTTACGGATTAACCTAACTATAAAATAATACTAAAATTGATTACCGTATAAGATCCGATAATCAATTTAAATTTTTGCAAGTTTATTAAATAAACAAATATTATTGTTATTATAACTGAATTAACTAATAATTTAAGCAAAATATTAATTATTTTCTTGTTTTTTTGTTAGAAAAATCTATTAAATTTGATATATATGGTAATTATAATTTATACAACTAATTTAATCTGTAATAAATTCAAAACTTTGGCTACATGAGTATTGGTGATTTATTGACATTACTATTGTGATGTGTGTTTTAAAGTTACATATAATTAAATGGGAACCATATGATTTCTAAGTTTCACATAAAAAATATGATTTATATTTTTGTCATGTATTTTTTCTTTTGTCATATAATAAGTGTTATTTTTTACTAAGTGGGTTTACACAGATTTCCAAATGTTCTTGAATTCTATTTGGTCCTCAAATTTTGGAAGTACAATTATTCCAATGGTTGTACAAAATAATGTCCTATAATTATTTAAATGTACTAAAATCATTATTAATATATACTTTATTTTATAAATAGACAGACTTATGATCAATGCCCATTGATAACGTTCAAACGGTCCTGAAGACCAATCTATACTTTTATAAACAAATTTATTAGTAAAATACTATTATGTTTTAGACAATATTTTTTTGTTAAATATTTTTGGAGTTAAGAACTGTTTTTTTCTTTTATAAAGAGAGTTTTCAAATTGAAAAAATAAAATTGTGTCTTTCTTTAATTCATTCGATATAGTAGATAAGTAACAAACAATTTAACTAATAGTAGTATTTAATTATTATTCAAGAGTCAAAAGTAATTAAATATATAAACAAATTTGTATATCCAAATCTTAGATATTGGTGAAAATGATCAATCATATAATCAATCACAAGATATAGAAAATATTCATGGAAACTTCGTATTTTACCCAATTATATCATAGGATATACATGATATTTACTTTTAAAATTAATTTACGTGACAACTAAATTATCCCATATTTCAAAAAAAAAATATATTATTAATGTTATAATATAATATTATATAAAACAAATATAAATTTAATTATACTATATTATAAAATTTTTAAATTATACTAAATTTAAATTAATAATATTTATTTTACCCTTCACAAAGTGTAGTTATTACC